GATCAGTGATCTTTCTAGCAAAAAAATGTGTGTTACGCCTGTTATGTGTCAAGCCCCAGGGATGGAGCCATGAGTGAGAGGCAGCATGGGCCCTGCTTCCTGGCCTGGGGAGGGGCCAGCAGGTGCACAGTCAGGTGACATTCGATGGATTCAGTGCTTTGCTGGCCAAGAACTGCACTTGTGGCGGCATGGGCCTTCCTGTACCTCTCTGCATGGACAACGGCACTGTAAAGAATGCCCTTCTGCACTTAGGAAGCCTCTCCCACTCGTTCCTCCTGCACAGATCACTCTCTCCTCTGTCTACATTTTGGATGTGTTCCTATTAGTGCATCCATTGCACATCATTATAATTATTTATTTGTTTGCCTTCCTTGCTAGACTGTGAGCTATTCTGCGGGCATGGACTATGCCCTTTGATTCCTTTTTTTTTTTTTTTTTTTATCAGTAGAGCCTCAAACAGCACCTGGCTCATGGGAGTTTCTTTAAAAAATATGTTGAACTGACAGAAAGGATGAAGAGTGGCTTCTTTCCTCTGTTGGTAGAGGGGCTCTTGAGCTTACTTTTCTCTCTGCAGTGCTAGGATGAGTTGTGGAAGGGACTGCAGCCTGGGGTCAGTGGAAGGGGTGGAATGGGACAGTTCTCTGGGCTGCATTTGGTGTCAAAGGCCCTGGAGGAGGGTGTGGGGCTAAGTAGGCTTTAAAGACCGTCATCCAGGCTGAGTGATAGGAACAGTTCATAGTCAAAGCTGGGACATAGCTCTAGCCTAGGTCTGTGAGAGGCTTTTGCTTCAACATTTCTTTTCTTTTTCTTTTTTTCTTTTCAAAGGTTATGTGTTTATTTTGAGAGGGAGGGAGGAGTGGGGAGGAGCAGAGAGAGAGAGAAAGAGAGAGAGAGAATCCCAAGCAAGCCCCACACTGTCAGCACAGAACCCAAAGTGGGGCTAGATCTGATGAATCGTGAGATCATGACCTGAGCCAAAGTCAAGAGTCAGATGCTTAACTGACTGAGCCACCCAAGCATCCCTCAACATTAATTTCCAAACTTGAGTGTACACCAGAATCACCTGGAGGGCTGCTGCAGTTGCTGGGCCCTCGCCCCGAATTTCTGATTCCACAGATCTGGAGTGGGGCCTGATAATTTGCATTCCTAACAAGACCCTAGGTTATTCCAGTAATGGTCTGGGGGCCACATCTGGGCACATCCCTGCACTAGAGGTACATGTGACATGAGACCTATGGTTCTCAACTTTGGGTATATTAGAATCAGTTGTGCAGTTCTTAAAAACACAGATACAGAGGAACCTTACTCACACAGGGGTTGTAACTGCTCGTAGAGATTTGGACTCCAACTGAGCAAAACATTGGTTAGAGTAAGTCTTACCTATAAAATGTAAAGAATTGATGAGTTCATCACACTTTTACTGAGCATTTGCTATGTGTCAAGAATGGGGATACAGAGATAAACAAGACACCGCCCTGCCCCCAGTGAGCTACCAGTCCAGTCTGGGGAAGATGTGTGAACAGGTAGTTCTAAAATCCTGGGAAGGGAGTGATGGCATTATACGCAGAGTAGCATGAGAGCACTAAGAAGAGCATCAGATCTAGGGGAAGGGGAGGAAGCTCAGGATTGGGGTAAAGAGGAGATAATGATCCAGTTCAATAGATTTAGAAATCCCAGGAGGTTAGCTTCTAGGTGGTATAACATGAAGAACTTCTACCTAAATCCAAATCCATGCTTGACCTCTCATTGGTCAAATTACCTAATCTCTCCCTGCCTCACTTTCCCCAGGTTGCAAAGGGGAATAATAATGCTGTCTCCTTCACAGAGTTCTGTGAGGACCAAAGGGCACACGTACATGGAGGACTTGGTAGGGTGAAGGGTTCAAACTTCATGTACAGAGCTTGTGCCTGCAGAGCAGTTCACAGTCTAGGTAGCGCTTGAGAAATGCCAAGTATCATCATCATCCTTCCAGAAGGTCCCATTGAAGTCTCCAGTTATGCCCACCATCATGGGGAATTTGGGTTCTGGTTGCTATATAGCAGAGCAAATATCCACCAGATTCCATCCCCTACACCAAGTGCTCCCTCCCCTGCATCAGGCGCCTATAGCTTTAACGTTCTTGTATCAATTTTTTGGTTTGCAAGTTCTTCCTTCCATTGGTGTATTTGTCCTTGGCAGCCTTGTTCCCCACCTTTAAATGACTTTAAAATGACTGTGTTCTATCTACCAGAGACAAGGAACCCCCTAAAGCCAACATTGTGTGATTGTGTCTAAAATGCAGCCAACTTTGAGTGGGAGGCTTGTTTTTAAATGAAGACGGTATGCTTTAGTGCATGTCCTGTTTTGACATCAGATGCTCTTTTTGTTTCCTTCTATACTCACGGTGGTGTTCAGGACTAATTTTCTGGGATAAATGATTTCCTAATAAGAGAGGTAGGACTATGTGGTCTTGGTCTCTTTGTTGGATTCTTTAGGGTTTGGGAATCGCACTTCAACACACACTCTCGGTTAAAACCATACTTACTTTATTCCAAATTCCCAGTCACATTTTTACTTGCCTCCAGAGCCTACCTTCTTTTTCCAGGCATCTGGACCTATTCCCACCTAGTGTGTGGCTCCTGGGTGTTCCTAATCCACCTGCCTCTGAGCTTGTCTGTTCACCTGCTCCAAGTCCCAAACTGTTTTCCATGTTAGACAATATTTATGTTGGCTAAATATTGGCACAAGCCATAAATGTGGCATGTTTACAAACACTGTGGTAGATCACTAAGCAGATGTTCTAACATTTACAAACTGTTTTTCACGTATGGACAATGACACCTGCTTTCATCGGCAGGATGCTGATCTGTTCTTGTAAGAATAGAGTTATGCTCCAGTTCGGCGTTTCTCAAACTCAGCTGCACATTTAGAACCACCTGGGGAGTATTTGCAAATCCCAATGCCCAGATCAACCACCAGACCGATTAATTCAGACTCTCTGTGGGTGGGACTTAGGCTTCAGTGGTTTTTAAAACTCCCCGGGTGATTCCAATGTGTGGCCAACTGTTAGCACTCGTTCCCCAGTCTAGTGCTTCTCAGACTGTACTGCCCCCAAGAATCACTTGAGGATCTTGCTAAATGCAGATATGATTCGGTAGGTCTTCAGGGGATTGGGGTTCTGCATTTCTAACAAGCACCCAAGTCATGTAGTTGCTGCTGTGGTCCAGAGACCACACTTTGAGTAGCAAGGAAAGTCATTCCTAGTGCCTTGAAAATAATTTTCCTGGGTGCCTGGGTGGCTCAGTCAGTTAAGCTTCCGACTTCAGCTCAGGTCATGATCTCACGGTTCGTGGGTTTGAGCCCTGTGTTGGGCTTTGTGCTGACAGCTAGCTCAGAGCCTAGAGTCTGCTTAGTCCTCTTGAGTTTGTCCATGGCTCCCTCCCTATTGCTCTGCACATACCCCACAGCCACACTCTGATGGCGAAGGGATTTCACTATTGAACTCAACTCTCTATTTTCCTCCAGATAACGATTCTCCTGAAAACAATCCACACAAGAGAAGACAAGCTTCATCTAGCTAAATCTGTGCAGATTTTCCATGGGTCTTATTTTTCTGTCTATGCACAAAGCTCACTGAGGCCAAGGACACGTCGTCTAGGCTAAGCAAACTCTTTGAATGTTGTGTGATTAGCAAATTATAGTAATCACGGTTATTACTGCTCCCAATAGGTTAGTCACAAACATGAGATCTTCAGTTGAAAGAAATCATTAATGATGGCAAAGGGATTGGGGGAAAGCACAAAACAAAAAAGTATATTTTCAATTCTCAGAATTGGCTAGAAAGCCCTCTGTATCACAGCACCTTGGAAAATGTAATTTCCTGGCCAATATCCTACTGGCTTTGGAGTATTGTTTGTCAAGCAGTTGCCTGTGAATCCTAGTCTGTAGACATATCCTTGGGACTTTGTAGCTTTCTTAGTAGGCTTTTAAAATATGTATTTACTGCTGGTAATAACTTAAAAACTAAATAGAAAGCATATTGAATCATTAAGGTGACCAAGAGCTAGCACACGATTTCAGCGCCTGCATTTGTGTTTCTATTTATGATTGTGTATATGCCTAATAGCTATATTTTAATTGTTGCAAGCAAACAATAAAAGAACAGAGAACAGAGGGGGGTTTAATACAAAAATCACACATTTTAGCCAAGAGAGGGCCCGATTGTTTTGCAGGGAGTCTTACAAACAAAAGTTTCTCAGTTTTGGATAGAGAAATATAATAGTAGAACTAAGAAAGTCAACGCACCACATCACATTTTAGACATTCCGTAACAAAAAAGAAACCACATGATAGCCATCAGGACCATTTTAACATTGAGTGTGGCCATTTAATCCCAGCAAAATAACATTGTCTATGATGCTAAATCAATACCATGCATTTATTTGTACATTAGCAACTTGTATTTTACTAGTATTTAATTTTATATATTTCTTTTGGCTGCGTAATTGCTTCAAAACTACAAGCATTATAGTTTGAAGATTGCACATGTTCAAGTCGCTTTCTGATGCAAGTAATTCAAGTCATTACCAGGACAGTTTTCTGTCCTTCAAAAAGGGTTTGCATTTACTTATTTTGAAACACAGGCTTAGAACATATTCATTCCTTGTGCAATGTTAATTGCACAAGTATTTTCTAATAGTGAAATAATTCCATCAGTATTTTCTAAAATGTCCTGGCGGCCATACATGGCATCATGCTCTCCACTGCAAGGCACTATTAAGGGAACACTGTTGGGATTGGAAACTGGGCTCCTAGATTATATTTTTACATTAGCTACAAACATTGTAACAGACATTTGTGTGTGGGGAGGGAAGATTTCTCTGCTTAGAAGTCATGCCTGATGATGACATTTTCAGGCTGGATCGTGAAGGATCCACTATGACAAGTCATTGGTGAATGATGCTGGGCCCACGAGAGAGCCCAGTCAAACCTATGATTTGGAGGGAAAATCAAGTGCTTACAGGCTGTTGGGCCTCTGGTTCTCCACTCCCTGGTGGGTGGCTGAGAGTCTGCACAGCTGCTGCCGAGGGTTGGATGTCCCCTTTGGGCAACTGTTGACTGCCTTCTGAGAGGGAGTAAGACTGGCTCTGAAGATTCAAAAGAGATACATAAAAATGCTGGACCACTCACACAAGCCAGCCGCCCCATGAGGTAGACATTCAAAAGATGAAAATGTCCTCCTGAACTGCTATGGCAGGGACCACTTATTTCTGAAGCCGTCTGCTTCTATCAGCAGTATCTTAAAAGTAGGATTCAGGGGTGCCTGGGTAGCTCAGTTGGTTAAGCATCTGACTCTCAACCCTCGGTTTCAGCTTAGGTCATGATCTCACAGTTTTGTGAGTTCGAGCCCCGCATTGGGCTCCTGCTGACAGCACAGAGGCTGCTTGGGATTCTCTGTCTCCCTCTCTCTCTGACCCCCTACCCCCCCACTCATGCTGTCTTAGTCTCTCTCAAAATAAATTAATAAACTTAAAAAAAGTAGCCTTCAGTGTCTCTGAAATATAGACTGAATGTAAGGCTCAAAATCTTGGCTAGCAGAAAAAATGCTACCTACAGAAGATTTTAAATAGAACACCTCCCCAAAGAAAATATTTGTAGGCTTGCAACCATTGAGTACACATTTAGTTTATGGCAAAGGAACAAAAAAACTTCATAAACAAAGTGATAGTTTACAGAACATTTTTGAATCTTTTTTCTCCTTGTTTCTAGTTTACATACAGTAAGTCATTTCTTTCCATGGGAACCTATAGTTGGTACAGAAAGACCTTATCAAAATTTTTATTGCAACAGTTTTAGATATACATTTTTCAACGTAAAAAAGAATCACAACTTAACTCTGACCTGCCTTGTATATCATTGGCTCCAAATGGTAGTACCTTAGTCAATTTTTAGTCATTACTGGTTTATAGACACAGTATTCACATGAACCTAGACATTTCAGTGTAAAAACCCAAATATTAAGTCCATTCTTTGGGTATCTGCAAATATCTGAATATTTGATGCTGCTTAGAAATAATACTGCTTAGAAATAATATTTTCACCTTTCAGTCCAACAAGTTATATGGACTTGCCCTCATAGGAGTACTTTTACCTTGGGTTACAGATATTTGCAACATGAACCTGCCTTTCCACAAAACCCTTATAGGCATAGCCTACCAAGTTTTATGCAACTTTGCTACATCTAACAGCTTTAATCATACATTCCACAAATACATATTAACCACTTACTCTCTGTGGGGTATTGTTTACTATCTTGTTTTAAAATACTTCTCTTTAGCCCCTCCTAAGAGATTTTTGGCTAATGGAGAAAAAATATATTCCAAATGCATTTTAGAAGCATGGTATGCTGTTGTGAAAACCAACAATAAGGAGTAATCACAATCATAAAGTGCAAAAGTATTAATCATGATTTCATAGTTTAAATTTCTCCACATGCTAACTAAAATGAAAACTGTTTGATTCCCAAAGGCAATAAATACTTACATGACGATTGCCCATTTTCGTTTTTCTAAGATATTTGTTCTGTATTTCATTAAAAGATCAGGTCTCCTACAAGCCAAGTTTATAATAGTTTTCCCAGGGTGTAATAGCTCTTGTGTTTAATAAGTAACTTTTGGCATTGAATTTGAATACATTGTTGGGGATGGGTAGGGAGTGGTGATAGCTACAAATGACCTTAAGCTTCTCAAGCTGCCTTTATAGACCATCTTTTTAAAATAAAGTATTTACTAATACATCAAGGATAGGACTTTTAAGTTGAATAGAAAGCTGATTTTCAATTAACGGGCTAAACCTGTCTCACTTCTGGGTTACTGAGAGAGTCATAATTTGTTTATTTTGGGTGTTTATTTAAAATTTTATAACTTGCTATGATAAAAGCATTAACCAAACAAGACTGAAAAATCTTACTGTTTTACTAATATCAGTATTATTATTACGCAGAATCTTTTTGAGGGCAACGTCGAGTTATGTTAACATCATCTTTATAATCTAGCTGGTTTTTAAATTAAAAAAGTAGTATGTGCAGATGGTAAGTTCTTTTTAATAGTGTGAAAATGTACTGTGAAAAGTAAACCTACTGACTTCCCAGGCCCTCCTCCTGGTGGTTTCTTGTGAGTCCTTCCAGAAATTGTCTACGTACACAGCCATGTCTGCCTATTTATGTAGCTCCCTACCTTTTCCCTCCTCCCTCCCTTCCTCCCTCCCTTCCTCCCTCCTTCCCTCCCTCCTTCCCTCCTCTCTTTCTTTCTTTCTTTTTTGCTTCTTTCCTTCTTTCTTTCTTTCCCTGGCCTGTGTTTTTCGTTTGTTTCTTTGTTTGCTTCGTTATCAACAAGCGGGTTTGTACAATGCATTCTTTTCCATGCCTTGTATGCTTCATATACTAAAGAGATAATGTGACACTCGCACATTTCTTTTTCAGTGGCCACATAGTAGTCTACTATGAATATGAACCAAACCTTATGTCATCAGTCCACTATTCAAGGTCATTTTGAGTTTTTTGTGTGAGTTTCTTCATTTATACATCTTTGCCTATGTGTGCGTGTTTATCTGTAGAATAAAATCTAAACATGTAATTGCTGGACAAAGTATATGCATTAACAATTCTGATAGATCTTGCTCAGCTGCCCTCTGCACAGGTATCAAAACATTGAACTGCTCTCAAAGTCCAGCTAACCCATGAGTCTGACTTTATTTTTTAATCAGTTAATTAATTGATTGATTTTTTGAGACTGACTTTTTAAAGACAAAATGTATATTCCCCTAAAATAAGATGCCAGTGTCCATTTTTTCCCCTGCATACTGGCAACACTAAATATTATGAGAGTTTTTCACTTCTTCCAATTTCAAAGATGAAAAATGGTTATTTCAGTGTTTAATGTACATTCATTCCTTTCTTTGATATCCTTTTTATCTTGAATAGCATCATTTTAATTTTTTTCTGCAAATTTTTACCAAAATTCTAATTAGTTAGCATATGGTGTAATATTGTTTTCAGGAGCAGAATTTAGTGATTCATCACTTACATTCTTTTGATATTCTTAAAATTATATACCATTTCCCTTAAAAGTCATTTGCATGAATTTTTTTCTGTGGTCTGCTATGCCCTTTATTTTTATTTTGAGTTATTAGTCTTTTCATTATTTATTTATAACAACATTTTATAATATACCTAGGCCTTTGTCAAATGTAACAATTATTTCTCCCTAATTTGTTGTTTGTCTTTTGTTTCTGTTTGAGTGTGTTCTGAGCATGTATGTGTAAGTGCAAAAAGTGTTCATTTTTATGGATGTATTGGCTTGCTTGGAAAAACATCTCTACATTAAAATGATCAAAACTTCTCATACACAGGAGGTAACATTTAAGCTGTGAACAAAAGGATGAGAAGGAGCCCATCATTTCAAAAGAGAAAGTGTTCCAAATCAGATGCTCTTAGTTTACGCTGAGGATCAGAAATAAGAAAGCACTTTGCTAATTGCAGGAAAAGAAAGATGGTGAAAGAGGCTGGAATCTATAATGTGCCAGGTGGGAAAACAGGTGTAGGAGGCAAACAAGACAAAACTCTCCTCCAGGAATGTGGGGGGAGGGGAATGAAAGACATAAATTAGCAACTAATACTTTGACCATTCTCTATGATTTTGGCCTTTAAGTGTCTAATCTGGGCTCTATAGGTCCCTGCCTCCTCCCATCCCCAGACTTCTCAGGGTCAAGGTCTCCTGCCCCACGTCTATGGTGGCTTCGAACCACCCTCTGCACCATTAACCCTTCCTACAATGCTCGATCAGTGAAGTTGCTCTCCCTCCCTCCCTCCCTTACCCAGGCTGTTGAAGCTCAAAGTTCAGGAGGAACAGGGCAATTTGATGTCCAATGACTGAAGTGGAGATAAGTTCTGTTTAAGGTCTCACAGGAACTGGTACAGAAGAGATATAGTTTATGGCCCCAGAGAGGTGAGATAGAAAGCTTAGAAGCCAAGTGAGAAGCTGACACACCTTTTTTTATTTTTCTAGAACACCACCACTATAGCCAACTCTTGATAGTTCCACTTTGCTCATGTTCAAGTTTGGATCTGACTGAAACAGAGCTGTTTCTAGTGTCATCTCCTCCTTTCTGCTTCCCCAGCTGGATGGGTCCACAGGAAGGTGGCTGGAATATTTCCCAGCAATAGCAGCAGGAGGAAGGATGGGGAATTCCTGTGACCCCAAGTCATTTCTGGGAGGTTGTCATGGTTGGAGGCCCAGCGGGAGAGGAGAAGGGTAAGCAGATGTTTTAGGAGAGATGGCACAGAACAGTAAGGGGAGGGTTTGTCTGATGTTTTGGTTTTTTGGTTTTGTTTTGTTTTTACTATCATCTTAAAATATTTAGTGATTCCAAATTATTACGGGTGCCTCATTTTTTCTCTACTAGACTGGGTCTGTTCTCTTGGACTTTGGTGGTTCTCAAAGTGGTAATGTCAGCCAAAGTTCTAATCTCCTAACTTTATGAGTCTCAATAGCAGGTTATAAATCAGTCTTGTCAAACACAATCTCTCCATCTGTACCACCTACCAAGGTTAAGTTTCTAACACTTCTTAAAAATGTCATTTATGGGATGCCTCATGGTTCAGTCAGTTAAGTGTCTGACTCTTGATTTCAGCTCCAGGTCATAATCTCACAGTTCATGAGATCGAGTCCCTCGTGAGGATCTGTGCCGATAGTGTGGACAGAGTCTATTTTGGATTCTCTCTCTCAATCTCTCTCTCTCTCTCTCTCTGCCCTTCCCCCCTCAAAATAAATAAATAAAAGAGCATTTTTTAAAAAAAAATGTCATTTATATATCTGTTATAGGTTAAATTGTATCCCCTAAAAGACAAGTTGTGATCCTAATCTTCAGTACCTATAACTTTATTTGGAAATAGGGTCTTGGCTGATGTAACCAAGTTAAGATGAAGTCATTAGGGTGTGCCCAAACCCATTATAACTGGCCTCCTTGTTGGAAAAGAAACACCCCACAGGAAGACACAGACACACAGGGAGAAGGGCATGTGATGATGGAGGCAGAGACTGGCGGGATTTAGGTGTAAGGCAAGGGACACCAGCGACTGCCAGCCACCACCAGGAGCCAGGAAGAGACCAGGAAGGATTCTTCTCTACAGGTTTCTGAGGGAGCACAGCTCTGCCAACCCACGGATTTTGGATTTCTAATCTCCAGAACTGTGAGACAGTAAGCTCCTGTTATTTTAAGCCACCCAATTTGATATCGTGGACTTGGGAAACTAATAAAATCTCTAAAAGAACAAACACCAAAACAAAACTCACCAGCTGCTGTGATTATCACAACACATTGTGCTTTATAATTTGTATTTAATAAAATTTCCATTTAGAAATATTTTGGGGAAAATTTCATATTATGTAATCATAAGACCACAAGTATTTCAGATTACTTTGTAGGCTTACAGTACTCCTTAAAATAACAAAAACATATAGATGCTGCTTTTCTAAATATAGCAGTCAAGTTGAACATTTCTGCAGGGATAATTAATAGTATTTTATTTATGTATTGTCACTTAGATAGAGCCCAAACATTATTGTTAACTTTTGGACTCATATTTTCCTCTACGTAAAAAAGGCACAAAATGTTTGTCTTTTTGGCATGTTTGTTTATCGTTGTTTTCCCCTCCACATTAGTTTGTAAATTTTCAAGTGCAGAGACAGGCCTGTTGCTTGGATTCTTCACAGTGTCTGTGTACAATGGCTACTTAATAAACATGGTTACTCAACTGAGCAAAACGACTGGACTGGCATCTGCAGGAAGTGATGACAGTTGCTGATAACAGCTGTATTTCCACACTCCTCTGCTTTTCTATTAGTAAAGACCCTGAAAGTAACACATCATCTTGCAAGCATAAAAACAAACATCTCAAGGTACAAAAAGCCTTCTTAACTCAGTGATTGGTTACCCTATACTTGCACATTTGCCACATGCAGGAGACCATGCTAAGCTAAGGGCATGTGGAAAGCGTAAGACATAGCTCCGCCTCCTGCGTGTGAAGTGTGCTTATGTTCTAGTAGGGAAAATAAAACATCTGTATAGGAAAAAATGCCTTGATTTGATAGAGCATTTTGTGGCAGAAGCACTGGGAGAGCAAAGACCTGGGTGTAAGGTGGTGTCCGCTACAACTTAGGAGTATTTTCACATTAGAGTCACACTCTTTCCGGTTCTTCGGTTTCTATTATATAAATGTAAGAGTTGAACTTCATCTCTACATTTACTTCAGACCTAAACTAATACGAACAATTTGGATTTCAGAAGACATATTGGGACCCTTTGGGTTACAAGTGACTCAAAACTTGGTTCATAATAACATAACAAACAAGGAATCTATTGGCTTGCACAATTGGAAAAGTTACTTAGCTTCAGGTGTAGCAGGATCCAGCTACTCAAAAATACCTCCCCAGGATTCATGGTCTCTCTCCACTTCTCAGTTCTGCTTTCTCCCCTCTCAAAGGGAACCCCCTTCTCAAGGACAAGATGGCTGCTGGCGGTTCCACATTTTCATCCTCACAATTCCAAATCCAGCAAAAAGAA